TATATGAGATATTTACATATTGACCCTAAGGCAAATGTCTTCTCCCATTTTGTTAGTTTCTTTTTAACTGTTGATTGTGTCCTTTGATGCATGGAAACTTATTTTTTTATGTAGTCCAATTTATTTTTCTTTTATTGCCTGCACCTTTGATTTGATTTCTAAGAAATTGTGCCAAATCAAAGAAACTGTCCGCTTCTAAGAGTTTTATAGTTTTGGGTTTTACATCTAGATCTTTCATCCAACTGGAATTCTTTGTATATACAAAACTGAACAGTGTAATAATGGAATATACTTATATATACAAATAATATTTTATACTGTTTTGATGATTGTTACTTTGTAGTAAGCTTTGAAATCAGAAATGTGAGTTTTCCAAATGGGTTCTTTGTCAAGATTGTTTTGGCTATTTAGGGCCCCTTGAGATTTATTTCTATTTCTGCAAAGGTTGTTATTGGTATTTTTGTTAAAGTTGTGGATCACTTTGTATAGTGTTGACATCTTAATGATAGTAGTTCATCCATTGATTCTTGTTCATGAACAAAACTTGTCTTTCTATTTGTGACTTGAATAGTTTATTCTGGTAATGTTTTGCAGTTTTTAGTGTATAATGCAATGATGTCCTTGGTTAAGTTTATTCCTAAGTATTTTTTGGGGGGTGCTATTAAAAATGGGATTGTGTTTGTAATCCCTTTTCATATTATCCATTCTTGGTTCATAGAAACACAACAGATTTTTTTTTCTGTGTGTTGATTTTGTATCTTGCAACTTTGCTGAATTTATTAGTGCTAACTGGCTCCCTGCCCACCCCTGTAGCATCTTTTAAGTTTTCTATATACAAAATCATGTTATCAGCAAGTACAGACGATTTTCCTTTTTATTCCTAAATTGGATGCATTTTGTTTCTTTTTCTTTCCAGATTACCTTGACTAGGACTTCCAGTAATTCATTTTACTGTAAGTTTATGTAATTTACTTCTTTTTAAAAAATGACGCGTACAACCAGAGAAATGAAAAGTTATTGCTCCATTTGTATACAATCAACTGAAATGCATTCTGCTGTCATGTATAACTAATTAGAATAAATTTAAAATTTAAATTTAAGAAAGGGGGAGGATAACAACTGCTTACCAATTTGTAAAATTCCTGAAAATTTAACAATTTGTTCTCAAGAGCCATGGTGAACAGGCTGCAGCATGCTGTTGGTTGGACTTTTCACGTTCTATTGCCCTTCCGCAACTTGAGCCTCAATAAACTGGAAGAATCACTTAATTTCTCATAGTGATAAAAGAACAGGAAATGAAGGATATATATACATCCATGTCAACTTATTTGGCAAAAAAACACAATAAATATTAAGCTGTGTTTGGTCCCCATCCAAACATTATCTCACCACATGAAGTTCCTTTTATGGAGGAAGACATTATGGTTGTTTTTTGTTTTTTAACACTGGCCTGAGTGAATTCTTTACTTGCATGTTTTTTTTTAACCCTCACAATAATGAACAATATAAGTATTATTATTTTCCTCATTTTAGAGAAGATACTGATGTTTAGAAGGGTTAACTCAGACAGTTAGTCAGTGGTAGCTAGTATTTGAACCAGACATGCCTGGTCTCAGTTGTCATTTGATCACACATTGCACATGCTGGAGTATACATTGCTCTGTCTGATCTTTGACTGTTGATACAGAACTTCGTTCTTTGTCTTTGGATGAAGAATCTCTACAGTTCTGGCTCCATCTAAGCTGTATGCACACTCTTAAAAGCATAAGGACAATTGTGGCTCCCTTCCATTGCCACTTCTGGGTCACAGGCAAGCTATGTACATATCTCAGGCATTAGTCATCTAGATGTATCACACAGTCATTTTGGAAGGGATTCTCATTTTGTGATGATGTGCTGTCCTTAGTATATATTATTTCAATTGGTTTGCTAAAAATTTTGGATTTCTTTGTATTGATGTTTATGGGCACATTGGTCTGTAGTTCATTTTTCTCTCTCTTATAATTAAAAATCTATTTCTTCTGGATGGAGCATTATTAATTTGTGTCTTTGAAGAAATTTTTGTCAAATTTATTATTACAATATTTTAAATATTTTCTTATTTTAATTTCAGTAGACTCTATTCTAATTAGTCAGCTATAAGTGTATCAATCTTCATGATCTACTGAGAGAACTAGCTTTTGGTTCCATTGATTTTCTCTGTTATTTCGTTTAAATTTTCCCCTGATTTTTATTTTGATCTTATTTCCACTACTTTGGATTTAATTTGCACTTCTTATTTTAGCTTAATAAGGAGGTAGAAAGCTAGGTCATTGATTTCTTTATTTTTATATTTTTACTTTTTTCTGTAAATTTCCCTATGAGCACTATTTTAGCTATTTTTCACAACTTTTGATATTTGTGCTTCAATTTACATTTAATTAAAAAGGTTTACTGATTTCTTTTACTAATATGATACTTAGGAGTTTGTATTTTGTTTCCAAATATTTGAGGATTTTCTAGACCTCTATTTATAATCCTAATTTAATTTCATTATGTTCAGAAAAGATACTCTGTATGATTTAATCCTTTAAAATTCATTGAGACTTGTACTATGTACCACAGTATATCTTGGTTACTGTGTCTTGTGCATTTGAAGCAAATGTATATTCTGCAGTTGTTGGATGGTGCTCTATAAATGTCAAAACACAGTGGTTGATACTGTTGAGTCCTCAATGATTTTCTCTCCATTTGTTAAGTTTATTAAAATTTGCAATTGTGTGGATTTGCCTGTTTCTCCTTTCAATTCCATTAGGGCTTTTGTTTTTTCATATATTTTGAATTTGTGTAATTAGGTACATAAATGTTTAGCATTATGTCTTCTTGATAAAATGATCCTTTTATCATTATGAAATGACCTTCTTTAATCTCTAGTAATGTTCCTTGCTTTGAAATCTACTTTATCTGATACTAATATATCCACTCTAGATTTCTTTTGGTTAGTGTTAACATGTTACATCCTTTTTTCATCCTTTGTTAAGATGGGCACCTTAGTTCGCTTCATACTACTATCACAAAATACTTGAAACTGGATAATTTATATAAGAACAGAAATCTATTATTCACAGTTCTGGAGGCTGGCAAGTCAAGATTAAGATGCTGTCAGGTTTAGTTGTCTGGTGAGGGCTGTGTCCTCTAGCTGAGAGGAATGCTGTGTCCTCACATGGTAGAAGGGCAGAATAAAGTAGCCACATGCTGTGTGAAACCTCTTATAAGAGCCTTAATTCCATTCTCATGGGAGGAGCAAGCCTTCATGGCCTAATAACCTGTGAAAGATTGTACAGTTATGCTATCACTTTGGTAACAGCTAAATTTTGGAGGGGCCACGTTCAAAACCTAGCAATGTTAGATATAGGATGTCCCCTAAAAGCTCCTGTGAGACAATGCAGGAATGTGCAGAGGTAAAATAATCAGATTATGGGAACTATAACTAATCAGTGGTTTGATCCATTTGATAGGTTGATAATTTGAATGGATGAATGGGTGGTAACTGTAGGTAGGTAGGTAGGTAGGGTGTGGCTGGAGGAAGGAGGTCACTGGGGGTGTACCCTTGGGGAATCACAGTTTTCTGGGCTCCTTGCACACTTGCTCTTTGCTTCCTGGTTCTCATGAACTGAACAGGTTTCCTCCTATGCCTTTCTGCCATATTCTTTCTGCCTTACCTTGGGCCCAAAGTATGGAGTCCAATGACCAAGAACTAAACCTCGAAACTGGGAGCCAAAACAAACTTTTCCTCATTTAAATTGTTCTTGTCGATCTTTTGCTTACAGTGACAAAAAGCTAACACAAATCGTTTTTTTTTCCTCCCTTCATATTATTCAGTTTTTTAGTTGGTTTGGATGAGAAAGTAATACTCTTTAATAATGTCTAGTAGAGCAAATCTGCTTTTATCTACTCAATATACTGATGTTCTGTATATGAATCTCTCAAAAAGGAATTCTATATTTAAAAATATTTTGAAAATAACAACAAAAGTAGGGGAATGAATAGACAAATAGTACACTGATCCAACAAATGTATATTTCATCAGATACTTCCATGGACTTGATTCCTCTAAGCCTGATCTTTCATTTGTGAATATAGGAGAAGAGCATCATTTACATGGGACCACATAGGTCATAGAAGAATAACCTATACAACAATACACAACAGCCTTGATTGTGAGAATTACAGGAAACAATGTAAAGATCTGTGGACAGAACTGGCATTAATAAGTTTTCAATAAACTTTAGCTGATAGTAAGGCTGCAGTAGAGGGGATTTCCAGGTGGGCCCTGGATGCAATCCAACATTTCATAGGAGAAAAGGCAGAGGGAATTTTGAGATGCAGAGAAGGCAATGTGAAGACAGAGATTTGAGAGATGCATTCATACACGAGGATAACCATGCAGCCACCAGGAACTGAAAAGGCAAGGAACAAATTGCCCTTAGAAGCTCCAAAGGGGATGAACAACTTCGTTTCAACTCAGTGATATTGATTTCGGATTTCTGGCTTCTAGAACTATGAGAAAATATATTTCTGTAGTTTTAAGACTCTCAGAAACTAATAATATATGTAGTTAGAAATAAAGCCTTCAGTAAACACCAGTGTTCTCTAATACCAATGATCCTAAATAAGAGCCCTCTTGTGTTTTTGTTTGTTGTTGTTGTTGGTTGTCTTGGTACCAGGGATTGAACCCAGGAGCACTCAACCACTGAGCTACATCCCCAGTTCTATTTTATATTTTATTTAGAGAATGCAATTCATTTCATGTTACATATAGAGCACAATTTTTCAAGTCTCTGTACACAAAAGCATTTTCATACCATTCATGTCTTCATACATGTACTTAGGGTAATAATGTCTCATTTGTCTTTCCTACCTCCATGCTCCCTCCCTTCCCTTTGCCCTATCTAAGGTTCCTCCATTCCTTCCATGCTTCTCCCTGCCCATCATCATTGTGAGACAGCATCCTCATATCAAAAAATATGGAATGCTTTACAAATTGGCATGTCATTCTTGCGCAAGGGCCATGCTAATCTTCTCTGTATTGTTTCAATTTCAGTATATATGCTGCCGAAGCAAGCACTATCTCTGCCCCTTGGTTTTTAAACTACAAAGGTAGGGCAGATCATTCTCTAAGATTGGATTCTTTTAAAAATGTACCATTTCATATTAGCCTCTGAGAAATTTGCTTTTGCAACTATTTGTTCAGAATACACTGGAACTGTCATCTAGTTCTTTCAATATACATTTCATAAATAATTTCCAAGGCTGAACAAGTGTTAACATTTATTTTCAAAATCCCAAGTGAGATGATTCAGTTAGATATCTTATCTAATGTTAGTTTTGCCTAGCCTATCATTCAGAACATATCCTACTAGAATGCAAGCTACATGGAGGCAGGGACTTTGATCACGACTATGTTCACAATAATTGCAACACTGCCTGGGCATAGTTAAATAAATACATTTGTTGGATCAATATGCCATGTCTGTTCATTCCCTATTGCTATTGTTTTCAAACTTAAAAAAATAGCAGAACCCTTTTGTTGAAAGAATTAAGTAGAATAATAGATATATAAAGTAGATCTGCTCTTCTTAGCATTACTAATATGTTACACATTAACACTAATGTAAAAAATAAATTTGTAGTTCAGAAAAGTTTATGTAATAGTCTTTTTGGAAAAATGAAATTTATACCTAGGTAAAAGGTATAAACAAAAGATATAAAATCCTCCTTGGGGAGGATTTTGAGTTTCTGCTCATAAAATGGACAGAAACATAACAATGCCAGGGTAAAGGAATTAGTATCCATTTTGTTATGAACACAATGGGGCAGAAAGTTACTATGGAAGCTATGTTCAATTTGTTTATCCACAAAGTAATGGTAGAAAAACTGCAGTGCCTTTGGAGTCTAGCAGATATGAGTTCAAATCCTGGACTATTAATCACTATATGACCTTGTGTGAGTCTCAACTGTAATATGGTGATAAACCTAGTACCTTTTTAAGTGGGTTACTATGAGGATTAAATGAGATGATTATGCATAGGGTTTGTTACATTATAAATGGTAAGTAGTAGTTTCAACAAGGCTTCAGGTTTTCCTGATGATCTATTTCCTACTTTCCCTAAGATTTTTGTGTTGAAATTGCTCTTTTGTATCAAACCCTTTACTGCAAACTGTTATAACGCTGGTAGTCAAGTATATGGCAACAAAATATATGGGAAAAATAGAGGAAATTTCCTTATTTTGAAATATACATGATATTCATTTTATTTTCTTTGCATCTGAGGTGGTGTGGTCAAATTGGAGTAGGAGATACATGGATGCTCATTGTCACTAGCCTGTCACTCAATCCCAATGTGGACTCCTTTTCTTGTTCCTTATCTATTTGTAAACTTGCCTGTGGACAGCAGGAACACTATACAGAAGCTGGGGATCCAAGCTTTGTTCTCTGTGGGATGTCACTTCAGAAATTTTACTCCTAATCTCAATTATTATTAAATACATTAAAACCAGCAGTTTACATTTTATATTTTGTCACACTGACTAGCTACTAGGCCTGAATGGCAATTTTTAAATATTTTCTCTTTAAAAATGTAGAGCAGTACAAGCAAAATTAGTTATCCATGTTGGAAATCCACGCCTTTCTGGCAAGGGATTCTTTTAAACATAAAAACGACTCTACAACACTCCATCATTGACAACTATAATTCAGAGTTGATTCTCCTCTCTTGGGTGATCTTACCCAAATTCATGGCCATAAATTTCAACTGTGAATATGACTCTCAGGTTTTTATCTCAGGTAAACCTTTCTTCCAAACTCCATACTTTCATGTACTACTACTTACTAGACGCATCTGGATATCTAATGGAGACTCTACTGATGTTCTTTTAGCATATAGGGCACACTCTTACCTCTGGATCTTTGTACTTTTTTCTCTCTGCCTGGAACATTTTTCCTTATCTTTGTGTCTGTGGTCAAGAGCACTTGTGAGCTCTTTCTTGACCACTGTATGAAAGACTGCAACCTCTAGCTCATGTGGCACTGCTTTTTTTTCTTCCTTGCTTTACTGGGGACTTGATAATACTTATTATAATACAACTTACATTTCTGTTGTCCAATTAGATTATAAGCTCCACAAAGGCAGGGATTTTTTTTTTTCTCTTTTCACTGTCACTGAACTTACAATAGTCCTTAGTGGATTTGAAGTTATCACTCCCCACTTCCACACCACCCCCCAAACTACTGAATGATTGTAATCAAAGCCACACAAAAGTTCTCAGGTTGAAAATAAAAGCAAAAGACCACTACACATTAGTTTGTCAACATGTAATGCCCTGGGTTTATTTTGTGAGAATTCTATCACAATTTTTCCAGGTGGGATTAAAAACCTTAAGGATAATGTATGCCATTGGACTGGGCATTCAGACTTCGGTACTGACAAAGCACTAGTAGTAGTCTGTTAAGTACCATTCTCTTCACAGAAGAGAGGTCAAAAATTTCCAAAGGAAGGCACCCGATATTTGTGGTTCTGGCCTTGCAGCCTTCTGGAGAATCTTAAAAGGAAAAAAGCTGGCTGGCTGTTTTTAGAAACTGGAATGATGATACACGTACAGCAATTACTGCATTCTTCTCCCTTATATCCTTTTTTGTAAGAACAAGTAAAGAATGAAGTCTTTTAAACAATTCGACAATAAAAAAGTACAATTTTTTTTTTTGTGCTAAAAAAAGGGCAAGACAACATAAACTCCAGTTGTAAGGACTCCATTTGCATACTTGATTTAACACTTTTTGGTGTGGAAGGAAATGGGACTACTGGGCTGTTCGTAGAGCAGCAAAATAACATTAGTGCTTTAAGTACCAGAAACCACCCACAGCTCTGTGGGCCAAGTGGGGATGGGAAGATTCAAGAGACTTCATTTTTAGCTTGTTACTTGTCCTAATGATAGTAGACCAGGAAGATCCCCATTTAACAGTACATTCCCCATTTTAAAAAAACTGATGCCTTTTTTTTTTTTTTTTGTAAAATTCTGTATGTATGTCACCATTTTTTTTTCACATGATACACAGAAAACTCAAGGACCCAGAGGGGAACCAAGTTATGTTATACCATTTACAAAATACCAAGGAGTCCACAGCTACCTAACACATTTACTACAGCACAGGAACCAATGAAGGTACAGTGTACAAAAAACTGTAAACACGGCACAATAAATAGATAAAACAGCAGGTTCCGCACCATGCACATGATGTGATGACACTTCATCTCTATACAATCTCACATCTCACACTCTTTGTTGCAATTTATTTTCCCCCCACCCCCCACCCCCAAGTGCAAAGCATCACAAATGAACATTTCTGTATTCAAGTAACATATATACAAGGGTATTACAAATATGCAGTACTGTACAGATAATTGCTGTATTCTTAATTTACAGATGTTGATTTTTTTTTCCTATTAACAGTAAGAAAAGAAAAATTGAAGCATGAGAGATGAGCATTGCTGTTAAGTCCCCACAGCTGCCACAGAAACGCATGTGCTGCATTCCATCATCCCTTGCATTCAAAAATGCTACTGATGCATAGCACCTAATCAAGTCCCCAGGCTGCAGTTCCACTCCTGAGGAAGCTACGTCACCTCCATTGCCACTGTATTGTCTGCTATGTTGTTCAGTGCTGGCTTTTCTGATTCATGATTTTCCCTGTTAAAACAAAGTTCAATCAATTACTTATTTGCTACAGCTAAAGATTATCTTCCCAATAAAAAGTTTATTTTTCATAACAAGAAGAAATGATTATTGGGATAAGACAGCAGAGAAAGGAATATGAATCATTATAGTTTATTATCAAGAATATGCAGTCAGAAATCAGGCTAATGTCAATTATAAATCCCACGGAAAATTATATCACCAATGAAACTGTCATAGCACCCAAGTAATCTAGATGTTAATAACACACAAAGAATTCCCAAGGTTAGGTGACTATAGTTTCACTTTCCTCTTATATGAAAACTTTTATAATAAGAGTTTAAAGTAGGAATAAACTTGACTATCATATTAGGACTTTAAGTCAACATCCTAATACATGCTGTTGAGCAGGACAGCTACTGAACTAGTAATAATCAGAACACTAGTTTTCTAATTTTATAAAGGCCGAGTATCTGCCAGATCTGTTTCCTACTTTTAAACAAAGGGATAGAGATATAAAAAGCTTCATACATACATACAAACATACATACATACATACGTATGTGTGTGTGTGTATGTGAACTATACTTGACTGATTGGTTAGCTTTGACTAGACCCAGTAAAAATGAATTGGTATTCAACAGGCAATGACTACTGTTTTAATTTAGAACAGACAGGGATATACGTGAGTTTGGAAACTAAAGACTACAGCCTGTTGCTACAAAACTTTGCTCTAGGAAGTCAAATATCCACCTGGCATTCAAAATGCTCCACAGTCTAGCCTTTCCCTGCCATTCCAACATCAACCACTAACATTCCCAAACCTCTGGGAGAATTTACTTATTAACCACAAAACACTTTCCCAACTTAGTATTTTCATTTCCCATTCCACCTAACTGAAATGCTCTTTCTTTTTTCCTGATATAGTATCATACTTTGAAGGACATTCCCAGAACTCCCCTGAAGTGAAACTATTTCTCTTTGTATTGAAATTACATCCATCATCTATACACCTGATAAGCACAAAATGCTTTAAGATACCTGTAGAACAATTTTTCCTACATTAACTTTTCAAACTTTAAACCTTATTTTTTAACTGACCAAAACCTTTAGTCTCTTTTTGTTTTTCCTCTAGTAACCTTGTAAATAATAAGATTTTAATTACCATTAATATTTTAAACAGAGTTTTGAGCAAAAATCCCAAAATATTGAAACTCAAGAAGAAAAATGAGCACAGGAAATAACAGTTTGATTAAAAATTGATCTGGAGTATATTCTCTAAATCATCATTAAGAGCAGTTTAGTATTCTAGTGGTGGTAGGTTCTGTTGATTCTAACTATTTACACAAGAAGCTATGGAAATAAATCATATACATAAGGAACATTTTAAAGAGA